TAGATTGGGCTAAAACTCACCTCTGGTAAAAAAAGAAAAAAGAAAAAAAAATATATGGGGTGCCGCTCATATATATATATATATATATATATATTATAATATATATATATATATATGTGTGTGTGTGTGTGTGTGTGTGTGTGTGTGTGTGTGTGTGTGTGTGTGTGTGTGTGTGTGGCATCTAAGTTGGGCTAAGACAGATCTCTAATAAGAATAATAATTTTAAAAAATCATAATTTTTGAGCTATCCTGCTGACCAACTAACCGACCAACAAACTAACTCCTTGGCGAAGGTATTTATGATTATGAAAGTGATGTCAATAAAAATTAGTAAATCATAAATACAATGATGAATGTAGGGATTTATATGATGATATATAGTGATATTTATAATGATAATGAAACTGATAATGAATGAAATGTAATAGTAATAGTATTGATAAGGATAATGATAATAATGTCAAAGATGGTAAAATTAATGATGATAATAGCAGCAATGATGATAATGATAATAAATAATAATAATAATAATAATAATAATAATAATGATAATATGGTATAATGATAATAATATTAATAAATGATAATAATAATAATAATAATAATAATAATGATAGTAATAATAACAATAATGATAATGATAATCATGGCATTAATGATAATAGTGATAAACAATAGTAATAACAACAATGATTATGGTAATAATAATTATAATGATAATTTGATAATAACAATGATAATGATAGCAATGATAATACACACACACACACACACACACACACACACACACACACACACACACACACACACACACACGCACGCACGCACCACGCATAAAGGAATCACATGAAAACCATTTCTGTCTACTATCATCATTTTTATCATTCTCATCATTGTTATTATTGTTGTTATTATCATTCTTTGTCGAACCAAGAACACTACGTTAACTAGACTGTCAGTTTATGTAGATTTATTATTTAATTATTATTTATACTATCCGAGGAGGATGTTTTAAGGAAGAGGATATGAAGAGGGAGTGAGAGGAAGGGAGGAGGAGGAAACAGACATAAAGAAGGAAGAGGAGAGAAGGAAAACAGGGAAGGGAGAGGGGCATGAAGGGGAAAGGGGGAGGGGAGGATAAGGGAGCATAAAGAGGAAAGGGAGATGGGAAAGGGAGGGAGAACGGAAGGGGGAAAGGAGGGGATTTAAAGAAGAAAGGGAGGAGGGAGGGGAAGGGGGCTTTAAGAGGAAAGGGAGAGAGGGAAAGGGAAAGGGAAGGAATTTAAAGAGGAAAGGGGGAGGAAAAGGGAAAAGGGAGGGGAAATGGACCAGGGGGGTTCACAGAGAAAAGGGAGGATGGGGAGGAGGGAGGACAGAGTATGAGGAAGCGAAAGAGGAGGGGGAAAGGAGGAAGAGGACGTGAGTTGAGTAGGAAGAGGCGAACGTACGGCTTGGAGTGGGAGGGGAGTGAATTCAAGGAGGATTTAGGAGTGAGAGGGGCTGGCAGACCGAGAAAGGGAAAGGGAGAGGGAGAGGGAAAGGGAGAGAGGAGGCAAGAGGAAGAAAGCGGAGAATCAAAGGGAGAGAGGTTGGGAAGAAATACTTCTTTTTTCATTTCGTGGAATTTTCACGGGTCTCACTAGTACTACCACCAGTACTGATAACGATAATGCTGGTAATAATAACAATAATAATGATAAAAAATAAGTGGCTCTCGGATAACCTTTCTAACTTTGGTGATAACAACAATAATGATAAGAAATAACTAACCTTTCTAACTTTGGTGATAACAACAACAATAATGATAAGAAATAAATTTTTCTTGCATAACCTTCCTAACTTTCTAACCTCTCACCTCTTTCTTGATATTTCGTCACAACTTACCTGCCGGTACACTCGGGACGAAACCTCGCCAGCTTCGACCTTAACCGCACTGAACGTCGCCAGGCATCCCAAGACAAGGACAACCCACACTCGAAGAGAGATTGCCCTGAGTATACACCGCGCGGTCATCATATCAGCCATGGTTCTAGAAGGGTGTTTGCGGAGTATGCGTCCTGTGTGGAGTGTCAGGAGTGAATATGACTCTTCGGTGAGGATGCAGAGAGGTAGGTATGCGTGTGTGGGTGGGTTGGGTAGGCGGGGAGGGGGTTAGGGGTGAGGGGTGAGGGGGGATTGGGTTTGTGCGCATGCGTGAGGGTCACATGGTTAGTTGATGGCTATATTGATTTAGTTTGGGATTTTATGTCTTCATTAATGAGAGAAGATATATATATACATAGAGAGAGATAGATAAATAGAAAGATGGACACACACACACACAAACACACATCTCTGATTTCACATTGTATTCACCTGTCCTGACAATGAAACAGAAACAAGAAAATTTTGAAATAGAAAAACAAAAAGTAAATGACTGGTGTACAGAGAGGCAGAAAGATAAAGACAGACGCAGAAAAAATAAAGAATAGAGAAAAAGAACGAAAAATTGCAATAACTAAGTAACCAGAACTCTAGGTACTATACAGGACTAAAAAACACCCACGTACTCACACAAATACACAACATACACCCACAAGCCCCGCCTACCTCTCTCTGTCACCCAAATTCTATACCAAATATCAAACACCTCATGCAGTTGTTTATAATAGTGTCTCTTATGATTGCTGAATCGAGGGATAATGAAAGAAATTTTCTAATTATCTTTTTTATTTTCTATCTAAATATATCTTTCTCACTGTTTTTTTTCTACAGATATAGAGGCGAAATATGGAACTATATATGGGAAATAGGTACGTAGACTGATAGATAGGTATGGGTATATTAAAATCGACCTACTATATATATAATTATATATATCGTATCTACTGCATAACATAAATATAACTCGTACGATAGACGGATAGATAAATAAGCTTACATACCAATAAACAATGTATTCTGAACATATACCTAATTATTTATTATCATTACAGCAGTCGCTTAAACTTTTTTCCATGTTCACAATATTTTCTATAATATTCAAGAACTTAAAATGCTATACCACTGAACACTCAAGTACAGGATAGGAAAGTCATTCTATACTACCTACGGAAATAAATGTAAAATATAGATAAATAGATAGTTAAAAGAAGATTAAAATTACAAAGTATATATTCGCACATATTTGATATACAATATAGAATGAGACAGATAGGCCTGAAGATAAACATGTGTATGTATGAATATATAATATTCATATGAACAATACTGGATATCTACAATATTTATTTTTCGATATCTACAATATTTACTATCATAAAATTCAAGAACTTAAAATGCTGTATTTTTCTACACTCAAGATAAACAGGTCAATGCATGGAACTGAAAAAAGCTAAAAGTAGATAAACATTGTAATGTATTCATGTATATACATACTGAACATAATATGGCGGATAGCCTTACAAATAGATAGCAAGATAGATGTCTGAATATATAATTTCTATTTTAACATTACGGGAGTCGTATAAACCTTTTTCGATATCTACAGTATCTATTATAAAAAATCAAGAACTTTAAAATCTACATTTTTTCTACAATCAAGATACACAAATTAATACATGAATAAAGATAAATTATGATGATTTTACAATATGCACATGATTATATATTGTATACATGATGTAGAGATATAGAGAAATGGGCAAAAAGGCTTACAAAGAAATAGGTAGACGTATAATTAAATACAATATTTATCTATTAGCATTACAGAAGCTCGTATTAACCTTTTCTTCGACACCTACAATATTTACCATAATAAAATTCAAGATCTTAAAAGAATTAATTCTCTAAACTCAAGCAAAGTATAAGGGAAACGTTTCTTTATCACACTAACAACCGTTACATACATTATGGAATATATTAAGACAAATGTACTTATAAATCATCATTACTTACAGAAGGTCAAACGGTACACACGGGGATATATATACGCACATGCGATAAATCTTTCCATACATACATGATCAACCACTAATAAGGAGTCCTTTCAGAAATCGCTATGTTATAGCTTGGTTTCTAAGGCACGCTGCTATATATATATATATATATATATATATATATATATATATATATATATATATATATATATATATATATATATATGTTTTTAATGCCTATTTCGAAAATCGTTTTATTGTTTTATTGAAAAAAAAAGGTTTTGATATTGATATTGAAGTAATATCCTTCTTCAGTAGATTATTATAGCTGTGTATACGCACGTAACTGTAGTTGTAATGTTTATATGTACTGAATAACAGCAACCATCTTTGTGTAATATATGTATATAAGCGAGACTATAAATGTACATATATATCTATACACAAGTATCTATAGGGTAGACTTGCCTTTAATTATACCACATAATTCAGCCCTTAATGACAGGGCGAACAGGTCAAAGGGATTCCCAGCCGGCAGACCATAAGTCCCTGAGCCGCCTGGACCCCCTCAATCATCCCTCAGAAATTAATACATAATTCTCTAGTCATTTGTCAACGTGTTTGCAATTTAGCGTTGTGGCAGCAAAGGAAGTCATCTATTTTGCCGATAGATTTTTTTTCTTTTCTTTTTTTATCAATGGTTCTTCTGCCTTATCTTTTCTTCTCTTCAAAGAGAAAGAAAGAAAAAAACACAGTATATCTTGAGACATTTTCACTGTACATTACTAGCAATGTACAGCACATATCCGTGTTTGTGAATGCGTATGTATATATACGCCAAAATACGCAAATTAGCTCTATTGAATCAAAAGCAACCTATAGCAACTTTGTATTGACCTTTGATAATAATTATTTCATTCTTCCTTCCTCCTTCTCCTTCTCTCTCTTCTCTCCTCCTCCCTTTCTCCCACCACCTCTCTCTCCCTTTCTCCTCCTCTCTCCCCTCTCCTCTCCTCTCTCTTTCTCCCTTTCTCCTCCTCTCTCTCCCTTTCTCCTCCTCCTCCTCCTCTCCTTTCTCCTCCTCCTCCTTCTCTCCCTTTCTCCCTCCTCTCTCCTTCTCTCCTCTTCTCCCTCCTTTAATCCGACAACGAGCACAGGAGCGCCACGCCCCTGAGAGTCCAGTGGTCCTCCGAGAGATGGGTCGGGATCCTGACGGAGATGACGTAGTTGGTGCAGTGCCCCGTCGTGGTGAGGTTCCCGCGCCGCTCGCTCGTCTTGTACACGGGGCACGAGTAGGAGGTCGTGGGTGGGATGTCCTCGCGCACCATCGGCCTCAGCCAGATCTGTGGAGGACGAGGGGTTGATAGATCGAGGTAGATAGATAGGTAGATAGATAAGAGAGAAGTTGCGTTGCGTTTCGTTAAGTAAGTTGGTAAGAGAGGAGCAAGAGGCCGTGGCGGGTACCAGACTCCAGCCAGATCTGTGGAGGACGAGGTGTTGATAGATCGAGGTAGATAGATAGGTAGATAGATAAGAGGGAAGTTTCGTTGAGTTTTGTTAGGTAATTTGGTATTTATTGTTCATTTTGAGACACCAAGTGGAGCAAGAGGCCGTGGCGGGTACCATCGGCCTCAGCCAGATCTGTGGAGGACGAGGGGTTGATAGACCGAGATAGACAGATAACGAGGGAAGTTTCGTTGCGTCTCGTTGGGCAATTTGGTATTTATTCGTTAATTTTGATACACCGAGAGGAGCAAGAGGCCGTGGCGGGTGCCAGAGACTTCAGCCAGATCTGTGGAGGACGAGGGGTTGATAGATCGAGATAGACAGATAAGAGGAAAGTTTCGTTGCGTTTCGTTAAGTAATTTGGTATTTATTCGTTCATTTTGATCCACCGAGAGGAGCAAGAGGCCGTGGCGAGTACCAGAGACTTCAACCAAACCTGTGTAGGACAGGGTGTTGATAGATCGAGATAGATAGATACAGAAGGGGTTTCGTTGTGTTTAGTTTCTTTATTTAAATAGATAGAAACCAGATCTACGGTAGAGGAGGTGTAGACAGACCGAAAAAGACAGAGAAAGGTTTTGATAATTGTGCTTAGTTAAGTATTTAGATATCTATTTGTTTATTCAGATTGATCGAGTGGAGTAGGAGGTCGTGGCGAGTATGTCCACGTGTACCACCGGTCTCAACCAGATCTGTGGAGGACGAGGTGTTAATAGATCGAAATAGATAGACAGAGAGAGATTTTATTGTTGTAAAAGGGATTCCATTTCAAGGTAAGATGGTGTACTAAAAGCTATGGATTTTATTAATCTGTTCATCCATTTCTCTATTGCTCTGTGTGGGATAGATTGGATAAAAAGAAGGGTATTCTACTCCGTAGAGTAAAGTTGAGAGAGGTGGAAGAACCAAGATATTTTCATCATTTCTTAATCTATTCATTTTTCTGAAGGATAAAAAATTCCCTCTCTCTTTACCCTTAGAAATTCTCAGTTAAAAATTAATCTTAATCTAAATAAAATCTAAATAATTTCCTGATATTCAAGTTAATCTAAATTAATGACTTTATAATTGGTCACACTTCATAACTTTCCATTTCAAAACGTAATTTTTCGCGTGCAAAATAATGTTCCTATGAATCAATTCCGGGAATTTTAAATTTTCGTTAAAATCCATAAATTTTGATATCCACATATATCCACACATGAATATTTCTCGCACACTAATATTCACAGCCATTCATTCTCGAATCCATTAATAATCCACATCCATTTCTCGCATTTAATTCCATCAATATCCATGAATTCTCCCATCCATTAATATCCACATCGCATAATTCTCCCATCCATTAATATCCATCATTTCTCCCATCCATTTAACATCCCATGATTCTCCATCATTAATATCCACATCCAGAATTCATCCATTAATATCCATTAAATCATTATTCCAACCATTTACCCATTAATATCCATCCATGAATTCTCACATTCCATATAACCCATCCACCAATTCTCGATCTTCATATCCACATTCATAATTCTGCATCCATTAATTCCACACCCATGAATTAATCGCATCCATTAATATCCACATCCATGAATTCTCGCATCTATTAATATCCACATCCCCCATGGATATTCCCATCCATTAATATCCACATCCATGAATTCTCCATCCATTAATATCCATCCCATGAATTCTCCATCCATTAATATCCACACCATGAATTCTCCATCCATCCACATCCATGAATACCCATCCCACATCCATGAATTCTCCCATCCATTAATATCCACATCCATGAATTCTCCCATCCATTAATATCCACATCCATGAATTCTCCCATTAATATCCAACATCCATTAATTCGCATCCATTTAATCCACACCCATGAATTTTCGCACCCACATCCATGTTCTGCACCATAATATCCACATCCATGAATTCTCGCACCCATTAATATCCACATCCACCAATTCTCGGATCCATTCATATCCACATTCACTAATTCTCGCAATTATATCCACACCCATGAATTCTCGCATCCATTAATATCCACACCCATGAATTCTCGCATCCATTAATATCCACAATCCATGAATTCTCCCATCCATTAAATATCCACATCCATGAATTCCATTCCCTCGCATCCATTAATATCCACATCCATGAATTCTCCCATCCATTAATATCCACACCCAATTCCATCCATTAAATCCACATCCATGAATCCATAATCTCCACATCCATTAATTCTCGCATCCATTAATATCCACACCCATTAATTCTCGCATCCATTAATATCCACACCCATTAATTCTCGCATCCCATTATATCCACATCCATGAATTCTCCCATCACCATTAATATCCACACCATGAATTCTCCCATCCATTAATATCCACATCCATGAATTCTCCCCATCCATTAATATCCACATCATGAATTCTCCATCCATTAATATCCACATCATGAAATTCTCGCACCCATTAATATCCACATCCATTAATTATCGCACCATTATATCCAACATCCAATAATTCTCCCATCCATTAATATCCACACTCATTCATTCTCGCACCCATTAATATCCACACCCATGAATTCTCCCATCCATTAATATCCACATCCACCAATTCTCGCACCCTTTAATATCCAAACCCCATTCATTCTCGCACCCATTAACATCCACATCCAACAAGCCTCACCGGCGGCATGTTCTCGTGCAGGCGCCTCGGCAGGGCCTCCTCCAGGCGCCCCGTCGAGTGGTCCCAGCGGGCGCCCTCGAGGAACAGACCCCGGATGTAGGTTCCGACGTCGGGGGCGGGGCTATCCTCGTCGACGTCGCAGACCTGGGGGGGGGGGGGGGAGAAGGGGGTGAGTGTGATTGCTGTTATGTTTATTATATGATTTTTTTTTGTGAATGTGATTGTTGATATTATTGTTTTTATTTTTCATCCTAACACTTTTAATGGTTTGTTTCCATAGTTATCATTATTTTTTATAATCATCATTTTGTTACTATCATTTTCATTCACATCATTATTTCTATCTTTATCATTATCATTATTATAATAATCATAATAATTTTTACTTAATCATAATTTTTTCATAATCAGTATCATAATCATCTTTATCACTATGGTCAATACCAGTGTCTTATCCCAATATATCAAGGTTATTATCATCATTATTTATATCATAACTCATCGCCCACGTTGAAGAGAAAAACATTATAAGGGGGGGGGGGGCAGAGAGAAAAGTATGACTGTTATTAATAGATTAACTTTCATTTTTATTACTCCTATAATAATCTTTATTATCTCCGTGTTGAATGTTGAAATCTTTAATAATGATAATAATAAATAAATAAATAAATAAATCTTACTATTTCTCTCTATCTTAAGGAATGTTTTTGTCCTCATGATTTTCGTTAAGCTTCTAAATCATTCTGAATATAATTTACATTTTTATATATTCGGCCTGTTTGTTTAAAATTGTCCGACCCAATAAATATTCATATATACGTATATGCATATATAAAGAATCAATGCATATCTATCAGTCTAGACATGCATGTCAACTACAGAGATAGACAGATAAATGTACATCTATCAGACAGAAAGAGAGATATGCATTCATTCCTGTGTATATGCGTCTTTATATGCGAATATTCATTGGGTCGGGCTTCGCACAATTTTAGCAAACAGGCCGACTGTATCGTATCCTTTTTTTACACGTTATATAATTCTATTTCAGATTACAAAACATCACGATTATCAGATATCATAAATTAACATGGTTATTACAACACATACAAGGCCTCATCCTCATCAAATACCATAAACCACCATGATCATTCCAGCATTTACAAACCATCACCATTATCAGACATACCAAAAATCTACCATAATTACTACAGCATTTACAGAACCTCATAATCATCGTTTATCATAAATCACCATAACCATAATCTTTACAGCATTTACAGAACCTCATAATTATCATGTACCATGAATTCATCACAACATTTACATTCCATCATTAATTAACACATACGACAAATTTCCCCCACTCACTCCAGCATACACAAACCACCATACCCATCACATACCATACATCACCATAACCCTTACAACCATTTCCACACATTCCCATACCTGGAAATTGAACCACAGCTGATCTATAGCGAGGGTGTAGGCGCGAGCGTGGTTCTGCAAAACAGCTGTTAAGAAGGACTGGGTGAAGAAAAACCCGCTAAGCCAGAACACACGAGGCTGCCCGACCTCGTACCAGTTCTGCGAAAGGGGGGAATGGAGGAATGGATGGGTAAAAGCAGTAAATAAGAATATGATAATAATTTAGCTTAATTCCGATTGCTACAATGGTTATTCTTGGTGTGGCAGGATCTCTCTTTCACGTTCCTTCTAAGTTAACCCCTGTCTGCAAGCAATGGACGGGGTTACCTTCCAATGGCGGTGCGGGATTCGAACGCGGGTCAGCAAGATCGCTAGAGGAGAACGCTACCACTGCATCACACCGTGGGATGAAGGGAGGAAGGATGGAGCGGTTGGAAGGGGAGAAGGAGAGAAAGAAAGGAGAGAGTAAGATTTATGGGAAAGAGAGAGGGAGGGGAGAGAAAGAGGAGGAAGAAGGTAGAGGAGAGAGGGAGGGATGGAGATAGAGAGAAATGATGGAGATGAGAAGAAAGTGAAAGTGGGAAAGAGAGAGTTGAAGGAGAGAGAGAGAGAGAGAGAGAGAGAGAGAGAAGAGAGAGAGAGAGGAGAGAGAGAGAGAGAGAGAGAGTGAGAGAGAGAGAGAGAGAGAGAGAGAGAGAGAGAGAGAGAGAGAGAGAAGAGAGAGAGAGGAGCGGGGGGGGGAGATGGGAGGAAAGACAATGAATGGGGGAGAAGAAACAGATAGAAAAGGAGGGAGGGAGAAGGGAGAGAAAAAGAGATGAGAAATAGAAGGAGAAAGAAACAGCGAAAAAAGAAAAGATTGCAAAGAAGAGAAAGACAGTTAACAAATCGCATCTAGAACACGACGACGCTCCTCTCCCTCTGGCTGCCGAAGGCCTCCACACTCACCTGAAGGAACTGAAGGCGCTGCACGAGGTCGTTGATGTAGGAGCCGAGGCCCTTGAGCGTCGGGTAGGACCTCGCGCGCCACATGTCGGGGACGCGGCCGGTGCGCACTCCGACGAGCACCTCCTCCACCTCCTCCGACAGACTCTCCGTTCCTGTGGGAGGTTAGGAGGCCCGTTCGAGCGCCAGGGATAGAGGGAGTTGGTTTTCATTTACATAACATTACACACACACACACACACACACACACACAACACACACACACACACACACACACACACACACACATACAAACATTACACATACATATATTATATATACATACACAAATTCACAGTTTAGTATACATATACACTCATACCTTTTTGTGCACCTATAAAGATATAAAAAAATCAAAAATGCTAATAAAACCGATTACAGTAATACCCAAGAATAATCAACAAGGAATGAAAGCAAACCATAAAAGAAAAATAACAGGGCAAAACGCTCCCTGTACTAACAACTCCCGAACACTTCCTCTCGCTGAATCGATAGACCAGGAGACAGCGGCCCCCGACCCCTCACCCGAATTAAATAGATAAATTTTCATATTTCACGGTCGCTTCGTCCCAGCTGTATCAAAGTCGTAGCGTCCTAAGTAAAAGACTCCTCCTGCAATTAATTATCTTGACACGTACTTTATTATCTTCTTAACATTCGGTTGTAAGGGAAAAGATCGAGTGATCACGGGTAATGGGGACAATTAATCAGTCTGGGGACTAAATGGCTTTGCTATTTGGGGAGTCGAAGGTGAGATGGGGAGGAGGGGAGGAGGGGGGGAGGAGGGGAGGAGGGGAGGAGGAAGAAGGTGGAGGTGGAGGGTAAAGGGGAAGGAGAAGTGGGGGAGGGAGGGAGGGAGAGAGGGAAAGGGAGAGCAAAGGGGGAGGGGGAGGAAGAGGGAAGAAGAATAGAGAAAGCGAACGAGACAATACGAGAGAGAGCGCTCTGTGCATGTTGGAAATGAAAGAAATAAAGTGCGAGCGTAAACAAAATCAGCTAAACAAATAGAGATTATAAATAGATGACTAGAGCGAAAAAGAGAAAGAAACGGAGTGACAGACCGATAAAGAGACGAAGAAAAAAACGATAAAGAAATGAAGAAAAAGACAGATAGAGAGACAGGGAGAAAACGAGACAAAAAAGAAAGCTCGAAAACCAGACCCAGAGAAGAAAAAAAGAGCAAAACAGACGAACAAAAGACCCAAACAGACCCTCAATCGCCCTGAGAACGGCGCTGATGGTGCTCGAGATGGTGACGATGAGGGTGTTGTATCTGCTCATCTCCTGCACGAGGACGGTGTTGAGGCTCTGCTCCCTCCTGGTGGGGTACTTGGCGAGGGCGGCGTCCACCACGAAGGGCGGCGGGATGCGGCCCAGGATCTCCTCGCACGTCCTCCCTACCGCGTCGCCGTCGCCGTCGCCGCCGCCGCCAGACGAGAGGGACGTCGCCTGCGTGAGAGGTTGTCCTTGGTGTTAGACTGAGGGCGTGGGAGGAAGGGGGGGGGAGGAGGGGAAGGAGAGGAGAAAGAGAAAAAGGGGAAGAAAAGAGAAGAAGAGAAAGAGGGGGAGGCGAAGCTAGGAAGGGAAAGAGGGGAAGAAGTTGAGGAAGGAGGGAGAGGAAGAGGGAGAGGGAGGGGAGAAGGGAAGGGAGGGAAGGGAGAGGGGAGAGAGAGAGAGAGGAGAGAGAGAGAGAGGAAGAGAGAGAGAGAGAGAGAGAGAGAGAGAGAGAGAGAGAGAGAGAGAGAGAGAGAGAGAGAGAGAGAGAGAAAGTGAGACAGACAGACAGACAGCCAGAGAAAGAGAAAGAATATGAGACAGACAGAGAGAAACAGTCAGACAGACAGACAGACAGAGAATGAGAAACAAAACAACAGCCATCATTCTCGTCTGCATTAATAGCACTATTCTTCATCAATGACGTGAGTGCTTAATATCCATCACATGCTTACTGCAGTTAAATACTAAGGCTATTCCAGCTCAAAATAACAGAAAAGAAAGGAAAAGAAGAAAAATGATGATGATGATGATGATGATGATGACAATAATAATGATAATAATGATAATAATGAATAATAATGATATGAATGATGAATGATGATGATAATAATGATAATAATGACAAAAATAATAATAATAATAATAATAATAATAATAATAATAATAAATAATAATAATAATAATAATAATAATAAGAATATAATAACGATAATAATGAAAACAACAATAGTAATACTATTAATGATAATGAAAATAAGAATGATAACAATGATGATATTAAAACAACAACAATATATATACCAATAACAATCGGCGCAACTAGATGAAAAGAACAGCAGAACAGCATTGGAAAGCAAAAGAAGAGAAGAAAGAAGGGAAAGAGAAGGATGCTGATAACAACAACAATAATAACAAAGATAATAACAACAATAATAATAATAACAAAGATGATAACAACAATAATAACACTAACAATAATAACAATGATAATAATAAAAAATATAAGTGGCTCTGGGTAGGAAGAACGGCCGATAATAGCTTGATGTGAAAAGAAGCGGAGGAAGCAGAGACAAAGGGAGACATGAGAGAAAAATGAATAACAATAATGATAATAATGATGGCAATAAGCGGCACCTGAGTTACATGATGAAGAGGTTGTTGGTCCGGCCTGGCCTTGTAATAATAATAAAATAACAATAATAATAATATAATAATAATAATATAATATAATAATACAATAATAATAATAATCATAATAATAGCAATAATAATAATAATGATGATGATAATAATAATCATAATCATAACAATGATAATAATAATGATAATACTTGCGATAATAAAAATGATAATAATAATAATAATAGTACTGATTTAGAATTTGATGTAACACACTTGCCACTTCAGGCCAATAGTGGCTGTCTGATTACTGTGCCTCTAAACTATCCCCTGCGTGCAAGGAAACCGGGACTTAGACCAGGGGCGTCACCTCAGGGGATCGTCTAGTCATTTTTCGGCATTTTTTCTCGCGTCTTGTCGTAATCGAGTTAAATCCATTTTGAAGGAGTTTGATGGCCGCCGATTCTCCCCTGAAAATTTCAAGGCCCGACCGCTGTTTTTCAGGTGGTGGCAGTCCTTTTCGATGTCGACCAAAATATTGATTTTTTTCCACCTTTCCTTAGAAAATCGGCAGTGTGACGTAATGATTAGGTATAATATAAAAGGAGAGTATTTTTTGAAAGCTTATTAAATTTCACGTAAGATGAGACCAACCTTCATTCTTTTGGGGAATGTTTAAAAAAAAATCTGACAAACATCCAAAAAACAATAACAAAGAATTTTTTATATAAATAAATATATACCGTTCATATAAAGCATTTTATTTTCTTTATGTTTTCATCATACACAATTGGTTTGATCTATGAGCAAAATGATTTTTTTTGTACCAATACTGTACGTTGTAAAACCCAATTATTGCAACAATAGAAGTAGATAATAGATAATTATATCATATACAAGTATTTCATACATGATTTGTTATCTATAATGTATATATAATATAGAGGAAAAAATCGCGATATTATAGTACTGTACATATTCACGCGCAGCACAGGCAGTTTCAGTCCGATTTTAACGTATTGTGGCCCATTATTTAGTTGAATAGTAGATGTATCATATGCTGCAATAAGGATTTGCAATCTCTTCATGTGCTTCAAATAAAAGTGACATATATTTTCAAAAGACTCTTTTCGGGTGTTGAAAAAGTCTTCGTAAAATATTCACCAAACAAGAAGATTGACTTCTAAAAATTCCGCATATTATAGTTGAAAAGATTGTTCTATTCAGATATGAAATCAAAATGGCTGTATTTTTTTTTTTTTTTTTTTTTTTGGGGGGGGGTTAGAGAATTTTTTTTAAATAGTCAATTTCCGTTGGGAAATAGCAAATCAGCTGGGACAATGTTACATGTTGACAATTTCCGCAAGTCTTTGGAATACAGGTACATGATAGACAATTATGTTTTAGGATGATTATGCTTCTCCCTTTTATATTTCATACCATAAAATTTATGAAGAGAAAAAAAAAACATTTAACGACCGTTATTTCGGAAGTCTACTTATTATTTTCTTCAAATGCGCAGCAGACGCAAATTTAGTTCAAAATAAATGTATTATAGCTCATTTTGTAGATAAATGATGTGTCTAGGTAATGTAGGGAACGGATTTTTCGATTTTTCTCCTGTGCTTCTTGTAAAAGTGACATATATATGAAAAAACGTCTTTTTCGGACACCTGCCAGTCGACTCGGTAAAATATTTCCCACCCTCAAAAAGAAAAAAAGAAAGAGAAAAAAAAGTACATCAGTCAAAATCGAAAAAGTGCTTCCTATATTCCCTAGGCAAAGGATGAATCTTTGAAATGAAGCGATCAGAAAGACTGCAATTTTTGTTGGATTTTATTTATTTTGTGAAAAATGGTAAATTTTCATTTTGTTTTTTTGACTACAAAAAAACTTTTATTCGAAAAAAAAAAAAAAGAAAAATCGAAAAAAGTAGACGATCCCTTCAACTTTTTTTTTTTTAAGAATTATTCTAGGAACTACTTGATGTTAATGCATCAACGACTACTATCTACATCTGTTACTACTACTAGTACTACTACTACTATAGACTACTACGACTGTTGCTATTACAACAACTACTACTCTAGTACCACCACCACTACTATAAACTACAACTACTGTTGCTACAACAACAACCACTACTGCTTTTACAACAACAGCAACTCCTACCACTACCACAACAACCACCACCTGCCACAACAACAACAACTGCCACTACCACAACCCCTACTGCCCCCTCTAAGCGGCACCTGGGTGAGGAGAACGGCCGAGAAGAGCTTGTTGGTCTCCGCCTGGTCCTTGTTGATGCTGGCGTTGCTGTTCATCCCGAAGACGTGGGGCGGGGCGTCGCGGGGCAGCTCCGAGATGTGGTTGAGGTAGGAGGCGTATTCGCCGTCGGGGGGCGTGGTGTAGACGTCTATGGGGGGCGGGGCGAAGGAGGGGTGGAGGGGGGGGAGAGAAAGAGTGTAATGAGTGTTTGGGATAGGTTGATAGGTGGGTAGGGAGGGAAGGGGAAGGGGAAGGGGAAGGAGGAATGGGGAAAGAGAGAGAGAGAGAGAGAGAGAGAGAGAGAGGAGAGAGAGAGAGAGAGAGAGAGAGAGAGAGAGAGAGAGAGAGAGAGAGAGAGAGAGAGAGAGAGAAGGATAGAAGCGAGTGAATGAGCACTGGGATGACGGAATGATATGGAAAAGGAAGTAAGAAAGAAGGATAGAAAAAAGGAATAATGATGTTGAAGATAATAAAGATTAAGGAAGACAATGGTAACGACGGTGACAAAGAAGCGATCGTGATAATGAGAGTAGATAGAGGAAGGGGATGTCTACGCGTCTAAAGGAGAGGGGAGTGAAAATGATGAGAAAGACAGATATGAGAAGGAAATTAAAACAGAAAGAAGGAAATTATGATAATTGGAGAGTAAAGTTTATGAGGAAGAAGGATATTGCTAATGCGATAAAATAAAAATGAGAATAACATTTACGGCGCAGTCAAAAATGCCGTGCTTTGAGAATACTCGGTCAACCGCTATACCTTTTTTATTTATTTATTTATTTATTTATTTTACTTTTTTTCTAATAATGGACCAAACATTTAATTTTCAAGTATTTCTTTTAACCAATTCTTCCGTATATAAACACTATTATCCCGAACAGAATTACCATAACTATTGCCCACCTTCCACGAACCCCAACAACGCCAATACACAACCCGGAAACAACAAAAAAAATCCTTACTTTGCGGATCGAACGAATGTGTCTCTCCCTTCACTATATCCGGGTTGTAGAATTTACGCAGGATCGTGCTCAGAGTCCTTCGATCCCGCTCGTCTGTCACTTTTCCTCCGTAGTTACACTCCGCCGTCAGGTACTGGAGGGCTTCCCAGGGGATCTCCTGAAGCCGCAGGAAGCACAGGGCGAAGGAAGGAGAAGGAGGGGGGAAAAGAGAAAGAAAAAAGGATTAGTGAGGAAGAATTACGCGATGTAAACAAAGGAAATGGGGGAAGCGTTGGTGAGAATGGTCTGTGCTCGAGATTTTTTTTGTAGTTTTGTAACAGAAATATAGAAAAAAAAATGAAGGAAGAAATGTTAAGAAGGATAGATAGATTTTTAATACTTTAATATGCTGTTTATTCTGTTTGTTAACCCAGAGGTGCCGTGTATAAACGCTGTCGAGTTTTCTCTTGTGAATTTTATTTGCATATAGATGGCTCCACACGCGCTCAGCCATCAACGAGCCGCTTAAAAGGCCTATGTAAAATTTTTTTCCCCTTTCCTATAGTTTACGGGAAAATATATTTTTTTTTAATGTTATCATTATTGACATTATGATTATCATAACCTTATTAACAATAAAAAATATATCCCCCCCCCCCGAAAATCAAGGAAAAGGGTAAAGGTGAGATAGATAGGCCTAGTGAGTGACATCTTGACGATTAATTAAGGACTTGTGGAGCCATCTGCGTATATGAACAATTAATAAAACAAAGAAACAAAAACACAGTATGCATGACATATAAACTTGGAATGCTGCCGGGCATCTCTGAGTTAAACTCATTATGCTAATTATTGTTTCTACATAATGTCAGTATTTATTAACAGTGGTCAAGGGAATGGTTTATGTGGGAACAATCTATTTAAATATTTCTCTTAATATGTTATTAATAGTGTTCATAATCTAATTTAAACGAGAGTGTATTTAAATCTTTCCAAAACCTAAGAATGCATTTAAATGTCAATCAAATAATTTACAAATTACATGTGGAATTAATACAAGGCTTCTTAAATATATTCAATCTTACTTTAATACTTTATAAGATCAGGCAGTAAATTAAAAAAAAAATAATTAGATGAATAATTAAAGGACAAGCACTACTTTTGCCGTCTCAAGGGATATTTACTGGTCTGGTGGAATAAACAATTTAAGACAGAGAGAAGGAGAAAGCGAGAAGGTAGAAAAGGAAGAGGAGGAGAGATAGAGGATGAATGAATATAAAAGAAAAAGGAGGAGGACTAAGAGGAGGAGGAAGAGAAGGAAAGAGGAGAGGAAGGTGGAGGAGGCGGTAGAGGAGGTAGAGAAGGTGGAGGTGGAGGAAGAGGAGTAGAAGGAGAAGGAAGAGAGATATAAGAGGAAGTGATGAAATGACGGGAGAGAGAGAGAGAGAGAGAGAGAGAGAGAGAGAGAGAAGAGAGAGAGAGAGAGAGAGAGAGAGAGAGAGAGAGAGAGAGAGAGAGAGAGAGAGATTTAAAAGAAAGAAAGAAAAGAAAAAAAAAAAAAAAAACAGACCATCTAAAACAAATTAAAATCAACCACATACCATCACCAACAATACCAAACGAGTCTACAAAACAAAGACAACCAAACTACACCATGATACAATACTTTCCTCGCGCAAGCACACCTAGAAAGTTCAAAATACATTCTCTCTTTTTGCTTTTTTTTGGAGAGGATCGGCGCCAACCAACTCCGATCGTCTAAATGAGGGAATTGGTCGTTCTCAATTACCATTATCAGATAAAAGATAAGGCCGTTCGTTGAAAACAAAGATAAAGAATAAATATACGAGATACCATCATTCCACATGCCTCTGGTAAACAATATCTACGTAAGAATAATATATAAATACGACATTCCTTTTAAAATACGTAAAAAATGTCTATGAAGTAAGATTTTTTTCAAACATACTACGACGTCATTATTTTGGTGACGTCATGAGAGTAATGTCGTCATGACATTTCTAACGTGATAGTACCGAGAATGCCATGACGTCATAAGGGAAGTGTGACGCACTGTTATGCGTTGAATGACATCATGCAATGTCATGGCAGAAGGGAGAGGAATTAACGTGTCCTGAGTGCCATTTCCTCTTACTCTGTTGACTTAGAGAGATGCAGGTGATATAACTTCATCCAGAAAATTATTGATGTCTAATTTGCAACATTTTTAGATTCGACAAATCGCCGAATTTAACACTTATTCTTCTATGACACAAGAAATACCACCCTCATCTTTTTAATAAATCTACTATACGTCATGAGGAAATAGATTGATAAAAAAGCAATACCACAAAGAAAAGAGAAGAACAATATATATTTTTTAAAAAGTATTAAAAGAAAATACGACTCGGCGTTCGTGGATTCATCCGGATCGAAGGCGCTTTGCTCACCATGGTTTACAAGAACGATCCGGGCCAGAAGGAGAGGGAGATACACAGAAGAGAGAAAGGAGAGATGGAAATATGCGATTAACTTAACGGAAAGGAGGCATAGACGGAGAGAAAAAAATCCCAGTTGATAAAATAAATTTTATAAATAAAGTCATTAGGTGTGTTTATTATATAATGTGTTTATTCTACTTACTTTTTTTTTTTCCATTCCATTGCGAAATACGGGTATTATATTCTGGTGTATGGACTTACATGCAAGTCATTCTCTGTCATTCCTTCGTTTTCTCTTTTTCTCTCTCTCTCGCTCTCCTCACTCTCTCTCACTTGCCACATTCTTCTCTCTCTCTCTCTCTCTCTCACACACACACACACACACACACACACACACACACACACACACACACACACACACACACACACACACACACACACACACACACACACACACACAACACACACACACACACACACACATCACACACACACACTTACACACACGCATCACTACACACAGTTCATATTCTAACTGTTATAAAAAAGAGTTAGTGCTTATTATCAAATTTGATTATCCCAGGAATAAAATGATCCAAATATAAAGCATCCAAATTTAGACAGAAAAATACAAGCCCATATCCTAGATCTATCTTCAATGCAATCAAAAATATTCATAATCTACGAAAAAAATCAATTGTGCTTCTTTCTAATCTATCATATATATAGAAGAAAAATATACGTTTAAAGCTTTAAGATTAAGACAATCCTTTATTATGATTGAAAAGCACATTGTACAAAATACTTACCTTTCATTTATTTTATTTTTTGGTACAAGAGACAAGATTATCGAATACAAGAAATGAAAATTGTTCTGGTGTGATTATTTACAGTGTTGAGCCACTGTTGTGCAGCGATATAAACAAAGTATATATCTGAATATAATATATATATATATATATATATATATATATATATATATATATATATATATATATGTATATGTATATATATATGTATATATATATATATATATATATATATATATATATATATATATATATATATATATATATATATACTACTATACTACTTACCTCCCAATATATGTATGAATATATGTTTGTATACATCTATCTATCTGTCTACCTGCCTGTGTTATATGTCTAGTTATCTATATCTACTAATATATATTCATATCTATATCTTTATCTGTCTGTCTGTCTACCACCCTTTATGTATGTATGTATGTATCTATATGTATATAAACATTTATATACATAAACATAATAGCATATACATATGTATACACTGAATTGTATAACATTCCCAAGCTCTATCCTGATCAAATATATGGAAAAATCCTTCTGCACCTTGGCACAAGCATGACTAAACCCAATATCCAGAACAAGCTATCCAGGGGATCCTCGGTTTACGACAGTCTCGACTTACGACGTTCCGTGGATACGACACTAGACATCATGTACAGTATTTGCAGTTTGTCTTCCATGTGTCCCTTTAGCCCTAGTTATTTTTTCATGTACGTCATAGAAGTGTCTTGTTTTGTTTCAGATAATGACTTTAATACATGTATACATACTGCATTAGCATCTGTGAGTGACTTCGGTGTTTATGTACGTACGTACATGTACTATATTTAGGTTTGTTCCGACTCTACGTCAAAATTTGGGTTTCACGCCATCGTAGGAACGGATCTCCATCGTAAGTCGAGGACCCCCTGAATCTTTCTCAATACTCAACAGTTACTCTAAGTCCCCCCTACATCCCACTCGAAAGAAAACGGGGACTTCCGCTCCGTCCCCGCCCCTTGCTCCACCTCCTCCTCCTCCCTCTCGTCCACCTTACCACGTAGGATCCGATGAGGTTCCTCAGCTGCTGCGCGGAGATCCTGAGATCCGTGTCGGAGAAGGAATAGGGCACGTTCCATCCGAGGGGCCCGAAGAGACGGCGCTCCTGCACGACGGCGTGGAAGAAGCAGAGCGAGTAGACAAGGCGTCGGAATTTCTCGGAGGAGCCCTCGCCCGTCAGGAAGTCCGGCTCTGACAGCGGGTCCGCGAGGTAGAGTCTGAGGAGGAGAAATAAGAAGTAAGAAATTTAAGAAAGAAAAAGGTGAAAGGTGAATGGAGAAGAAAAGATAAAAGAGGGAATAGTGATTCGTTCTGTTCTTTCATTTTGGAAATCATCTTTTCTATCTTTCCCTCTTCTCCCTCATCTTTCTTTTCTTACATTTCATACTTCCTTCTACCTCCTTCCTTCTATTTCTTCCTCCCTCTCTCCTTCACCTTTCTCCTCTTCTCTTTTCCACTTTCTTCCTTCCTCATTTTCCTCTCCTCATCCCTCACATCCCCTCCCTCCCTTCCTTCACCCCACCTGCCCTCTCCTCTCTCCCCTCTCCCCTCATCCTCGCCTGAGACCCTTCGGCGGTTCGGTCACCATCCCACTGAACCTTCCTTTCCACTCTCCCTTTCCTCCTTCCTATCTCCTCCCTCCCTTTCCCTTCCCTTCTCCTCCTCCCTCCTTCTTTCCATTTTCCTCCTCCCTCCATCCTTTATTCATCCTTCCCTCCCTCCCTTCCTCTCATCCCCAACCCAAGGGGGAGCTCCAAGGCCCTCCCAGCTCCCCCTCATCCTCTCTCATCCCCCCTCCCCTTACCTCCCTCCCCTCCTCACCTCCTGAGATTGGCCCTGAGTCCCTTCGGCGGCTCGGTCACCATCTTGATACTGGACTGGAGCACGGAGACGGGGAAGTGGGCGGACGGGTAGCTCGTCAACCACAGGCGGAAGTCGGCGTGGGTCGTCTCGGGGTTGAGCTCCTCGCATAGCTGGGGGTGAGAAGGGGGGGGGAGTGAGGGGGGGGAAGGGTGAGGTGGGAGGGAGGGGGAGGGTGGGGTGAGGGAGGGAGGTTGAAGGAGGGGGTAGGTGGTTGGAGAGGGAGGGAAAGGAAGAGAGTAAGGGGAGAGTAGCATAGATGGATGAAGGAGGGAAGGGAGAAAGAGGAAGATGAAGAATTACGATTTACAAAAGCAAAAGAATTCAACCATGAATCAACAAAAGCTCAAGAACAATGAGTTATTGTCAAATAAGAATAGAGTCAATGTAAAAAAATGAAACATCAGCAGATAAAAAGTCAAAATCAACATCCTCTTACCTTCTCCAGCTGCGGCATGAAGGACTTGGCGAGGTGGCAGTTCTGCAGAAGGACCCACGTGCCGATCCTGACGCCCTCCTCGATGAGCCTCCGAGCCACGGGTCCTTGCCCTTGGCCCAAAGACACGCTCTGGAGACGCTCACCGCCCATACCCTGTGGGAGGACGCGGGGGGAGGAGTTTAAGGTAGTGGGCGGGTGTTGTAGACTGCCAATGATTCGGTTCGTTTTTTTCGTGATTCAAGCCAATGGTGTGATTCAGTCGATTCGTGATTCACTCCTTGGCTTAACAAAAGCAGTGACTTGATTACCCGCACTTATCAAGTAACTCAACCAAACCAGTGACTTTCGGGGATCCTCATCCACCCAAGGACTCACCCAAACCAATGACTCCCGAGGACCTGCATTCACCAAGGACTCATGAGGACCTCAATCCACCCAAGTTAACCAAACCGATAGCTTCCATACCAGTGACTTCCGAGGACCCTCATCCACCCAAAGACTCAACCAAACGGGTGGCTTCCAAGGACCCTCATCCACCCAAGGCCTTAACCAAACCAGTGACTTCCGAGGACCCGCTTTCCCCCAAGTAACCAGTGACTTCTGATTACCAACACTCAAGTAACTCAACCGAACCAGTGACTTCGAAAATTCACCCAACGCTTCAACCAAACCCAAAACTTCTCAAAAAAAAAGAAAAAAAGAAAAAAGAAAAAAAACTCACCTGGTCTTCGGCGAACTTGAGGAGGAGCGCCGTCGGGTCAGCGCCTGGCGTGAGCAGGAAGATGAGGGGGAGGCAGCAGTGGGAGTCGGTGAAGGTGCGGGCCAGGTCGAAGGGCGGCGCCTCGATGTACGCCTTGCCGAGGAGGTCTGGAGGGGGAGAGAGAGGGAGAGGGTGATGAGTAAAAGAAAGAGGAGGAGAGGAGGAAGAAGAGGAACAGGAGGAGGAGTAGAAGTTGGAAAAAAATAAAAGAAAAATCAAAAGGAAAGAAAGAAAGAAAAAAAAAGATAGAACAATGGACAACCACTCACCCGCGACATAATCCTGCACAGCGGCCACCACCTTATCCGGGCGAAGGCACCGAAGGACACACAGCAGCTGCATGCGGGAGAGGGGGACCTCCTGGCCCTCCTTAATACTCGGGATCGTCTCCTTCTGCGGCGTCTCGGACTCGAACACGGCGCGCCACTCCTCCAGGTGCTCCGCGAACTCCATCACAAGGTGCTGAAGGGGGGCGGGGCTTTTATTTATTGGTTGATTTTTTTATTCGTGTGTTATTGGCTTGTTCTTTCTAGTTAATGGTGGTCTGGTTGTTATTACTGTTATCAGTGTTTGCTATCTTAATCATCATTATTACTGTTACTGCTATGTCATCTTTATATTACCTGTTATCATTTTCATATAATTGTGTGTATAAGTGATAGAAATTAATTTGCTGCACGAACAGAGAGAGAAATGAATGAAATACAACCAAAATATCCATAAATTATCCTTCATTATGATTTTTCGCCACATTTCTTCCCACCTTGAGCGACGGGAGGCAGTGAAGCCACTGAATTTGCTGCCAAGATGTCTCTGGGAGCCACTCGGGGGCGGGGTTTGGGGAAGGGCCGGTGGACAAGGCCACGCCCCCCGTCAGGAGGAAGAGCCACTCAGCGTCGTCCACGTTCTTCTCGGCGCGCTGGAGGTTCACGCACATCAGGAAGGAGAAAACTAGCTTGTCCTGCAAAAGCCATAGTGAAAAGGATAAACTAAAATATATATAAATGAATAAATTAATAAGTAAATGAATGAATAGATAAAACAAATAACCAGAATGTCTATTTATCTATATACTCACACAAAATCAAAGAGAAAATGCCATAAAAAGATTAAAAAGAAGCCAACGACGACCTCTTCGAAGATCCCAAATACACAAAAACTAACGACAAGAAAGAAAGAAAGAAAGAAAAGAAAGAAAGAAAGAAAGAAAAAAAAAACGAAAAACAAGGAAAAAAAAAGCCCACACCCCAAAGCCTACCTTCTCGAAAAGCCCGGTGCACACGTTATGGTACAGACTGAGCGTGAAGTGGCTCTGCAGGGCGTTGAGTCGATCGGGTAGCTCGCTCGCCTTCTCCGAATTATCTATCGAGTTGGAGAATAGATTGACGAACCAATTGAGGGAGAACTGGTACATGGGGTCCAGGGCGGCTAGGTCCCTCAGGGTGAAGAACAGGATGGAGGCGGTGACGGCGACGGGGCGGTACCCCAGGCGGGTGGCGTTGATCTGTTGCAAGGGGAGAGGGGAGGGGAGGGGGGGGGGGAGAGGGGAAAGGGGGGGGGAAGGGAGGAGGTTTAGAAAGGTCGATGTGGGTAGGATTTTTTTAAAGATTGATATTTGATTTTGTTCCATTTCTATTATATTTTTATCTTATTCTAGTTTTTCTTATTTATTTGACTGTTTATTTATTTATTTATCTATTTATTTATCATTTGTTTATTCCTTAATCTGTTTATTTATTCATATATTTATCTATTTTTCCTGCGGTTTCACGTTCCAAAGTGTTTATGGACAGGGGATATTCAGCCCCCTCCCCTCCCTCCCCCCCCCCCTTTTCCTAATCCCCATACCCCTTCCTCCCCTTTGACCAACATCCCCTTCCCCTCAATTCACTTCAGCATCCCCTCTCCCTCTCCCCCACCTTCCTCCCACACTCCCTCCTCCCCTCTTTCCTCCCTACACCACCTTCCTCCCACTTCCTCCTCTCCTTTCCACTCACCCACCTCCTTTCCCCCCTCCACTCCCTCCTCCCCCTTTACCCCCACCTCCCTTTCCCCTTCCACCACCTTCCTCCCCCTCCCTTCTTCAATCACCCTGCCTCCCCTTCACCCTTCCCACCCAGCATCCCCCATACTCCCTCCTCCCCCCTTCCACCCACCATCCTCCCATACTCCCGACCTCCCCCTTTCCTCCGATATAACACCCCTCCTACCCCCCCCCTCCATCCCCAACACACCCTTCTACATATAACCCCTTCCCCCTCCCCCTCCCCCTCCAACTCCCCTGTACACACAAGCCCTTCCCCTTCCCCTTCCACGCACCTTCCCCCCACCACCCACACTCCCCCCCCCCTCCTCCCTCCACTCCCCTTTCCCCCTTCCTCCATCCCCTCCCCCCTTTCCACCATCCCTCCTCCACCCTCCCCTTCCTTCTCCATCCCCTTCACCCCCCATCCAACCTCCTCCCCTTTCACCCCCTCCCATCCACCTTCACCCCTTCCCCATCCACCCACCTTCCCCCCCCCTTCCCCCTTCCCCCTCCACCCACCTTCTTCTCCGTCTCCTCCGCGATCGTCTGCTTCTCCTGCGTCTCCTTCACGAGGCGGTTGGCGTCGCTGAGGATGTTGATGGCCGTCTCGTCCTCCAGGATGCTGCCCTTCGAGGAGGAGAGCGTGGAGAGGATGCGGTCCTCCAGCTCCTTCAGGTTCCTGTAGGAGGAGGAGGAGGAGGAAGAGGATGAGGAGGAAGACGTGTCAGGAATTGTTTGGAGGGGAAAAAGGGGGAAAATCGTAGGTTGTTGGGGAATTTTATGTATTATTTGTTTTTTTATTATCGGTTTATTCTTTTATCTTATCTTATCTGGTAATCATGCTTCGTTTATCATTATCTGTTGAAGGTGATATTCGTCATTTCCGATTTTAGGCTATCATATCATTACTCTTTTATCAATTCTTGACACATTTCAGTCTGTCTGTCTGTTTCCATTCTCTCACCGCATTATGTATAAACCGCAAATTATAACATCTAGATATACATATATTCTGTGATAAGACGAATGCACATGTATTAAATTTTACATGCAATGCAACACAAAACACACACACATTATACATATATTAATCTATCCATTTATATACATACTTATAACTTGCATCTCTTAATAAAATACCTCATCAGGGCATGGCTATCTACATTCTTTACAAAATATGTATAATTACAAATGGATATCTGCAAACATGAAACCGCATCAATTAACAGGACTTAACATACGTTACTAAAAAATCATATAAGTTGGTAAACTCTCATCCTTCAAATAAAATCTCACTCACTTCTTATTCTGCGCTGTCTGGAGCATGAGCGTGACCCTCTCCTCCTCGAGTTCGGGCTTCTCGTGGGCCACAACGAGGGCGAGCAGCTGGTCCTCGAGCCCGGCGCCGGTGAGGGCGAAATTCACGAGGGTCACCTTCACTGAGACCTCCGGCACGTAGTTGGGGTTGCTCAGCTTGGTCGTCAGGTACATTCTGGGGGCGGGGGGAAGGGGGGGGGTTATCTCTGTTTGTTTATAGTATGTCTGTCTGTATGTTTCTGTCTATTATTTTTGTCTGTTTCTGATTTTTTTCTTTCTCTAACTCTGTCTTTGTTTGTATGTCTGTTTCTCTCTCTCTCTCTCTCTCATATATATATACAGGTAGATATACATATACATATTACACACACGCACACACACCACACACACACACACACACACACACACACACACACACACACACACACACACACACACACACACACACACACACACACACACACACACACACACACACACACACACACATATATATATATATATATATATATATATATATATATATATATTATGTAAAATGTATCTATATATCTATTTACTTATATATCTATTATCTACCTTTCTGTTTACTTATATATATTTTTCCTCTTTCTGTTTATCTAAACTATCTACCTAGCTACTTACTTACCTATTTATCTGTTTATTACCTACCTACCTATCTATTTATACCTGCCAATCTATCCATCTATCTATATATACATCCACTCACCTATCTATCCACCTACCACACCTATCTATTTATCCATCTACCTACCTATCTATCCACCTAACCATCTATCTATCATTAACCCCCTCCCTACAAACTCACCCACCCACCCTCCCAACCCACCCACCACCAACCCACCCACCAACCTACCCCCAACCAACCCAACCCACCCCAACCCACCAACACCCCACCAACCCACCTCCCACCCAACCCACCTCCACCAACCCACCCCAACCCACCTGAAATCCGCCGAATACTCAATGGTAGCGTCGCCCAGCTTAATACACGTCGACCCACTCTGCTTGAACGTCTGCTTGAGGAGAAGCGGTTCGAGGATCGGGTCCAACTCCTCTCCCACGTTCTCGAGGAGGACCTTGGAGGGTGAGAGGGGAGGGGAGAGGGGGGGGGGTTAAGAGGGTGTGTGTGTTTAAGGGACGGATGGAGGTTGATCGAGAGATAGATGAGATACAGAAGTAGGGAGATAGATGGATAGATACACGGATAAAGACATGTAGATAAATGATGAATAGATTGGATTGATAGAGATAGAGAGAGAGATAGAGAGAGGGAGAGAGAGATGAGAGAGAGAGAGAGAGAGAGAGAGAGAGAGAGAGAGAGAGAGAGAGAGAGAGAGAGAGAGAGAGAGAGAGAGAGAGAGAGAGAGAGAGAGAGAGAGAGAGAGAGAGAGAGAGAGAGAGACAGTGTGAGGAAAAGAAAAGACAAACGATACAAAAAGAAAAAAAAATCGAAAAAATCAACTACGTAAAAAAATCCCCCTTCAAAACAAATCCTTCACCCCTTCAAAAAAACAAACAAACAAACAAACAAACTCACCGGTTGTCCGAACTGCACGCAATTCTCGAGCGTGCGAATGAAGTCAGGATCGGACAGCTTGACGACCTGCAGCGAGTTGTCCTTCTCCATGTTGCGGATCCACTTGTTGGCCTGCCCCTGGGGGTCGATCAGCAGGGGCCAGCGCGTCGTGTTGCTGAGGGGGGAGAAGGTGGGGGGTGAGAGGGGGTGGATGGGGTGGTGGGGGTGATGGGGTGGTGGGGTGGATGGGGTGGGGATGAGAGGGACGGATGGGGTTGGGGGTGAGAGGGGGTGGATGGGGTGGGGGTGAGAGGTGGGGTGGGGTGTGGGGTGAGAGGGGGTGGATGGGGTGGGAAGGTGAGAGGGGTGGATGGGGTGGATGGGGTGTGGGGTGAGAAGGGGTGAATGGGTGGGGGGTGAGAGGGGTGGAAGGGGTGGTGGGTGAGGAAGGGGGTGGAGTGGTGGGAAGAGGGGAGGGGAGTTTGGTGTTGATGCACGTAAGTTGCATGTGCATAGATGTAGGGAGATTATAGGAAAAATTCGATAAATAAACGAAGCGTACAGATATGCATACACGTATATACTATAAAAAGACACACATACACAACAAACACACACACACACATACACACACACACAGCACCCACTATACAAAGCCACATAACAGATAATTTTTTAAATACAAATCTATATTTACAAATACATTATTTTTATCACCCGATAGTCACCACATCCAAAATCCTCCCAAACACACCACAACACGAAGTAAAAAAAAAAAAAAAGAAAAAAAAAAAATGTAAAATCATAAAAATAAATAACAATTATAAAAACTAAAGAATTATTTACGAAGGACTTCCAACCAACCTGATAATGAGCATGAATAAAAAAACAAATCAAACAGTAATTAAACCCACACACGCACACACAAAAACTCATCCACGAAGGATTTCCAACCCACCTGATAATGAATAAATAAATACTAATTAAGCAGTAATTAAAAAAACTCACCCACTAAGTTTTTCTAACTAATTAAACAGTAATCGAAAAAAAACCTCACACACGAAGGACTTCCAACCCACCTGATGATGACACCGTTGTCAATGCTGAAGGGGTCTGTTGGCAGGCCGTTGAGAGTCCAGTCCCTGATGGTCAGCGGGTCGCCGAGCACCTGTGGGGGATCACGGGAGAGAGAGAGAGAAAGAGAAAGAGAAGGTGTTCGAAATGGGCACGCACAAACACAACACAATCACACACAACACACACACACACAAACCAAAACCCACCACAAAACCGCACACACACCCCTCCCTTTCCACACACAAACACACAAAACACAGATAAAAACACACAAGAACGCGACACCACACACCCTACACACACACACACACACACACAAACACTCACATAACCTCCCTCCCCCCTACAAAACCACACACACACAACCCCCACCCCCTTACACATGATCCTCACCCACATCGCATCCCAACCTACCACCACACCACCGACACACACACAATCCCACCCCCCCTACACACATCCTACCCCATCCCCCCCTGAACACACACACACACCACCCACACCACAACCCACCCTACACACACAACCCCCACCCCTACACACACACAACCTCCACCCCCTACCACAACAATCCCTCCCCCTACACACTACCTCACCCCACACCCCATGCCCCCCTACACAACTCACACACAACCCCTCCCCTACACACAACCCCCACCCCCTACACACACAACGAGAACCTCCACCCCCTACATACACAACCCCTCCCCTACACACATCCTCACCCACACGCCATCCCCCCTACACACTCACACACAACCCCCTCCCCCCGTTACGGCACAACACAAAACCCCCCATCCCTCCCCCACCCCCACCTCCTACACAAACAACCCACACCCCCCTACACACGATCCTCCCTCACACCCCCACTCCCGCCGGACCTGTGAGAGCAGGAACTCCCCGAGCGCAATGCACTCCCCCGGCCTGGCCTCCCGGAAGCCACTTGGCACTCTGACTCGCCACGGATACTCCGGGGTAAGGCACCAAGGTACGCGATGTTGCCCGCGGCTAGAAGCATGTCGCCTGTGGGGGAGGGCGCATTAGATAGATAGATTAGAATAAACGGATGGATAGTAAAGATTAGATTTAGATATATGGATAGATGGAGAGATAGACAAAACAGATAGATCAAACAGATGATAGATAAAGATTCAGATTTTATTATATAGATGGAGAAATAGATAAATAGATAGACCAAATAAGAATGGATAAATCAGATTAAAGATTAGATTAGATATATAGATAGATGGATAGATAAAGATTAGATTAGATATATAGATAGATGGATAGATAAAGATTAGATTTATTATATAGATAGATGGATAGAGGGATAGATAGACCAAACAGATGGATAGATAAAGATTATATAGATAGATGGATAGAGGGATAGATAGATCAAACAGATGGGATAGTAAGATTAGATTTGATATATAGATGGATAGATAAATAGATAGGATCAGATTAGATTAGATATATAGATGATAGATGGGGAGATAGATAAATAGATAGTCAGATAAAGAATTAGATTTATTATAAGATAGATGGATAGATGAGAGGATAGATTAAACAGATGGATAGATCGATTGAGATTAGATATATGGACAGATAATAGATAGATCAGATATTAGATATATAGATATTAGATCGATAGATAAATCAGATAGATCAGATTAGATCAGATATATAGGTAGAGGATAGATGGATGGATAATAAATAGATGGATAGACAGATTAGATTAGATCTATATAATAATGGTAGTAGATAAATAATCAAACAGATAGATCAAGATAGATTTAGATATACAGATAGATTTGATAGATAGATAAATTGATATTGAAGCAGTGATATATAGAATGACCCATAGATAGATTTAATCAGATGAGATAGACAGATAGATAAAGTGGATAGGGTTTGAGAGAGAGAGAGAGAGAGAGAGAGAGAGAGAGAGAGAGAGAGAGAGAGAGAGAGAGAGAGAGAGAGAGAGAGAGAGAGAGAGAGAGAGAGAGAGAGAGAGAGAGAGAGAGAGAAGAGAGAGAGAGAGAGAGAGAGAGAGAGAGAGAGAGAGAGAGAGAGAGAGAAGAGAGAGAGAGGAGAGCGAGAGAGAGAGAGATTAAAATGAAAAGTTGAAAAAAGAAGAAAGGGGAGATACGAAAACAGCAATATAATAAACAAAAAAAAGGGGAAACATACACTAGGCAAAAGAGAGGAACAACAAACAAAACGACAATAAGAAAATAAGAGAGCTAAACACTCCCGCGAACGACCCACGTCCTGTGAGGTAGATGTAGACCTGCGCCAGGTGGTGAGCGTTGTCAGTCCAGCGGGTCTTCTCGCCGCCCAACGCCGCCAGGAGCTGCTCGGCGCGGTCCTTCTTGATGCTGCACAACTCCACCTGCGGGAGGGAGACAGGAGGGAATTCAGGGGTAAGGTTGTCTCTTTCTCTAGTTGGGGTTAGCTGTATCTTTGTCTCGGTTGCTGGCTGTTTCTGTGTCTGTTTCTGTTTTTTCCTCCTTTTCTTTATCAATTGTTGTTTCTCTCTCTCTCTCTCTCTTCTTCTCTCTTCTCTCTCTCTCTGTCTCTTCTCTCTCCTCTATCTATCTATCTATCCATCTCTCTCTCTTTCTCTCTCGCTTGATCTCCATTCAGACAACTTCTGACAGTGATCTCCAATTATGATTATGGTTAACACACAACCCCGCACAGCGTACAACACAAACCATCTATCTATCTACTCTAATATATTTATCTATCTATCTTCACATTCTATCTGCCTAATCTATTCTATCCTACTATCTCCCATCAACCTTTCTACCAATACATAAATATAAACATTTCCCGAAAAAACTAACCAAATTCTTCATCCCACCCCTAACCCCACCCCACCCCCCTCCCAAAGGCTCCCCTCCGAACCCACCGTCTGCTCCAACTCGAGCTTCTCCTTCTTGACGGTGTCGAGCTCGGCCTGCAGCCCCGCCAGCTCCTCCTGCACGCCCCTCAGCGCCTCCTGCTTCTTCCTCAGCTCCCCCATCAGGCCCTGGTACTGCTGGTCGGCGCGCTGGAGGGCCTCTCGCTTGGGCGCCACCTTGCGGTCCACCTCCTCGTACCGCTCCATGGCCAGCACCCACTTGCACAGGCCTGGGGGAGGGAGATTGGGTTGATTAGACACATTCTAGGGTTGATTAGGTTGACTAGAAGTTTTTAGATAGATCGACTGGATAGATTGATAGACTGAATCAGAAAGACGGATAGATAGATAGAGTGATGAGCGCCACCTCCATGGCCAGCACCCACTTGCACAGGCCTGGGGAGGTAGATTGGGTTGATTAGAGAGATTAGATAACTCGATTGGATAGACAGATAGATTGAATCAGATAGATTGACAGACAGACTGGATTAGATATTAGACAGACGGATAGATAGATAGATAGAGTGTTAGAGCGTCACCTTCTCGTACCGCTCCATGGCCAGCACCCACTTGCACAGGCCTGGGGTAGGGAGATTGGGTAGATTAGAGAGACCGGGTAGATCGAGTGGATAGATTGAAAGATAGACTGAATCAGATAGACGGATAGATAGACAGAGTGATAGACCACCACCTCACCGTACACCGCTTCCGGTCCACCTCCTCGTACCGCTCCATGGCCAGCACCCACTTGCACAGGCTTGGGGTAGGTAGATCAGGTTGATTAGACACATTCTAGGTAGATCAGGATGATTAGATAGATTAGACAGATCGATTGGATAGACAGACTGAATCAGATAGACGGATAGATAGATGGAATGATAGAGAGCCACCTTGCGGTCCATAGGTCTAGAATAGGTAGATGGATTTGATAGATAGATTAGGTAGATAGTTTTTATAGATAGATTAGGTAGATGGATTTGATAGATAGATTAGGTAGATAGATTGGATCAAACTGAAGAATTGAAAGATAGAATCAGGTAGACAGAAACATATGGAGATGAGACAGACAGAAGAATATATATAGATAGATAGACAGAGAGAATGAGAGCGCCACGTGATAGACAGATATCTAGATACATAAATAGACAGAGAAAGAGAAAGAGAGCGCCACGTGATAGACAGATATCTAGATACATAAATAGACAGAGAAAGAGAAAGAGAGAGAAAGAGAAAGAGAAAGAGGAGAGGAGAAAGAGAAAGAGAGAAAGAAAGAAAACAAGAGAAAATAAACAAACAAATCAATAAAAGACAAAGAGAAAGAAGAAAGAAAGAAAGAGAAAAGACCGATCGATCGATCAAAAAAGAAAGAAGAAAGAAAGAAAGAAAAAAAAACCCTGGCCCAAACACCGAACCAAGCCAACGCGAACTCACTTTTCCGCCGCCTTGGACGCGCCACCTTGATCTTCTCGGGCTTGAACTCGTCGTTGTCCCGGTACTTGGAGCGAATCGTCTGGATCGCCTTCTGGCTGATGTTCTCCTTGTCGAAGTTCAGGAGGTTCTCCTGCAGGGGCGAGACGGACGGGAGAGGGTGAGAGGAGATGAGGAGAGAGAGATGGAGGGGGAGAGGGAGGATGGGGAGGGAGAGTGAGGGGAGTGAGAGGTGAGAGGGAGAGAGGGAGGGGAGAGAGAGTAGAGGGAGGGGATAGGGTGAGGGAGGGAGAACAAGGGAGTGAGGGGAGAGGAGAGGGGTGAGACGGGAAGATGTGAGAGGTGGAATGAGAGGGAGATGAGGAGGAGAAGGGTGAGAGGGAGAGATAAGGAGGGATGGGGAGTTAGACAGTGTGGGACAGCATAACACACGTGCCTATAATTCAAAACATAACACCATTCCCGAACCCACACACCCACACACAACAAACACCCACAGCACGACCTCCACACCTCTACAACACCCCCAGAACCACAACAACAAAACCCACCTTGAACTTGATGTCGCCGAGAAGCCTCTTGCTGACCGACCAGTACTCCTCGACCATCTTGCCCGTTCCTTGAGGGTCCGGGACGCGGTCTGGTTTCTCGCCCTGGAGTGGGAGAGGGGGAATGGGGGGAGGGGAGGAGGGGGGGTGAGGGAGTGTTGGAGTAATGGTGAAGATAGATGAGATAGATAGAGAGAGGGAGAGAGGAGGAGAGGAGAGGAGAGGAGAGATAGGAGAAAGAGAGAGAGGAGAGAGAGAGAGAGAGAGAGAGAGAGAGAGAGAGAGACGAGAGAGAGAGAGAGAGAGAGAGAGAGAGAGAGAGAGAGAGAGAGAGAGAGAGAGAGAGAGACGAGAGAGATGAGAGAACGGTGCGGCCAGTTTTTCATCATAACCCAAAGTTAAGCCACTTAACACTTGGATATGCACAATACATATAGTTTTGCATCTATCTAACAGTACGAAGATTAATGTGAGGGAGAACTGCGCATTCTCACCATGTTTATTCATTCATCTATTAATAAAGGTAGATAGACAGATAACCATCAAAAGCACATAAACCGTTTTCACGATAAAACCAGAATTGAAAAAGAAAACAATCTCGCCGAAACAACAAAAACAAAAACAAAATCTTTAGAAAAACAAACACCACCACACAAACACACAACAACAAACCAAACCCGCACACGCAAACAAACAACCACACATAAACAAACAAACCCCACACAAAACGCAAACGCAACATAAACAAACAACAAACACACAAACACACACACACCCAACCGCAAATCCCTCCCCCCCCCCAAACGCAAACAAACACAACCACACAAACATAAACAACCCCACAAGCAAACGCAAACACACACACAAACACACCCAATCGCAAACCCTCTCACCAGCAGCACGCAGACGGCCTCCATCACCAGCTTCACTCCCGAAGGCGGATTCTTCATGGCCTTGATAAACACGATGTCGTCCTGCTTGATCGTGTTCAGCGCCGCCGTCGCCTCCTCCAGCAGGGGCAGCGCCAGGTTGAGCTCGGCCTCGCACTCCTTCCGGATCCCGTTGGCCGCCTCCGCTGCCTCGTTCGCCACCTCCTCGTCTTGGCGGACCACGCGCTCCACCTGCGGGGGGGGGGGGGGTGAGTATGGATATTAGATAGATTGATGTCCTTGATAGATAGATAGATTGATGTACTTGATAGATTTATAGATAGATAGATAGGTTTGATAGATAGATGGATTGATGTACTTGATAGACAGATAGATAGATAGTTTTGATAGATTGATAGACTGATAGATAGATAGGTTCCCGTTGGCCGCCTCCGCTGCCTCGTTCGCCACCTCCTCGTCTTGGCGGACCACGCGCTCCACCTGCGGGGGGCCGGGGAGGGGGAGGGGTGAGATGGAAAGTAGGCAGATTGATGTCCTTGATAGATAGATAGATTGATGTACTTGATAGATTTATAGATAGATAGATAGGTTTGATAGATAGATGGATTGATGTACTTGATAGACAGATAGATAGATAGTTTTGATAGATTGACAATTGATAGATAGATAGGTTTGACAGATAGATAGATGTACTTGATAGACAGATTAATAGGTTTGATAGATAGATACATTGATGTACTTGATAGATAGATGGATAGATAGGTTTGATAAATAGATAGATAGATAGATAGATAGATTGATGTACTTGATTGATTGATAGATAGATAGATAGATAGATAGGTTTGATAAATAGATAGATAGATAGATAGATAGATAGGTTTGATAATAGATAGATAGATAGATAGATTTATGTATTTGATAAATAGATAGATAGAGATAGGTTTGATAGATGGATTGATGTTAATTGATAGATAGATAGATAGGTTTGATAGATAGATTTGGTAGGAAGATAGATAGAGAGATAGATAGGTTTGATAGATTGATGTACTTGACAGATAGACAGGTTTGATAGATAGATTTGGTAGGATATATATAATTATATATATATATAATATATATATATATATATATATATATATATATAATATAATATGATAAGATAGATAGATAGATAGATTAGAGACGAGATATTTATGTTAATGTGAATGAGAGGATGTGAATAAAGAAAGAAAATATGAGGTAGAAGGAGGTAGGAGAGATGCGTAAATAGAGATGAGAGATAGATAAATTGATAGATAGAGGGAGGGAGAAAAAAGAGATCTATGTAAATATACTGTATACAGGAAGAAAGCGGTGTGTAAATAAAGGGCAATGAGAAAATATCGAAGGAAATATTGGAGTAAAAGAAGGGAGGAGAAATTACAGATGGATAGAGAGAGGGATGTGAATAAAGGGCAAAAGTTCTGGAAGAATTATTGCCGTAAAACAATTATTGTCGTAATCCCACTCAAATCGAAATACAACCCCTTTCCCCTTTTCTAAATCACCCCCCTCCCCCATTCCTCTCCCTCACCCTACCCCCTAATACTCCCTCACCCCTTTCCCTTTTTCCCCCCCTTTTACCTCAGCCACTTCCTGTCTCCGCTTCTCCACGACCGCCATCTTGTCCTCCACCTCGCGGGTCTTCGTCAGCAAGATGGGTTGCAAGTTGAGCAATTCCTGTTGCATCGCCAAAACGGACGTCTCGGCTTCCTCCAGGCGCGCCAGACCCGTCGTGTAGCGGCATTCGAGTTTCTTGACCTCGCTTTGTTATCGTTATCGTTATTATCAGTATCACTAATGTCATTATTGTAATTATCAATATCATTATTATTATCGTCATTATTGCAAATGTTATTATCATTATTTTCGTTATTACTTTTACTATTGTTATTATTTGGAGAGAGAGAGAGAGAGAGAGAGAGAGAGAGAGAGAGAGAGAGAGAGAGAGAGAGAGAGAGAGAGAGAGAGAGAGAGAGAGAGAGAGAGAGAGAGAGGAAGGAAGGAGGAAGGAAAGGAAGGAAGAGAGAGAGAGAGAGAGAGAGAGAGAGAGAGAGAGAGAGAGAGAGAGAGCAGAGAGAGGAGAGAGAGAGAGAGAGAGAGAGAGAGAGAGAGAGAGAGAGAGAGAGAGAGAGAGAGAGAGAGAGAGAGGAGAGAGAGAGAGAGGAGGAGAGAGAGAGAGAGAGAGAGAGAGAGAGAGAGAGAAGAGAGAGAGAGAGAGAGAGAGAGAGAGAGAGAGAGAGAGAGAGAGAGAGAGAGAGAGAGAGAAGAGAGAGAGAGAGAGAGAGAGAGAGAGAGAGAGAAGAGAGAGAGAGAAGAAAGAAAGAAAGAAAGAAAGAAAGAAAGAAAGAAAGAAAGAAAGAAAGAAAGAGAGAGAATAGAAGAGAGCGAGAGAGAAACTTTCCCACTTACCCTCTACGTCTCTCAAGAATAACCATGTAAGTAGCCAGTAGCTGTAAGTAGGACGTAGGTGTCACGTAGTTATATCGTCGAAGGTGCGTCAAAAATCTGAAACAATCGTAAGTACCAATTTAATGGATAAATGGCCAGTTAAAATGAAGGGACAGTTTACAAGCAGAAATTACTTAATATGACGCTTATAATACTTATTCTTATAATAAGAGGAGTATTATTCAGTATTATCTATTCATCTGTTAATTTCTAATCATAATTCTAATATAATTATGGCAATACATATGTGTTTATTTGTTTCCTTCTTACTTTTGATGCCTGCCTTATTTATGTGTTTTATTCATCGATTTATAAATCTAATAGATAATCAGTACCATTCATATACTGAGCAAAATATATCAGCCATGTCGTCTATTTATTAATCTATCTATCAATGAATCTATCTGTCAGCTTCCCCATCTATCCATTTTTATCCATCTGTATATTCTATATTTTATCTATCTATCTTTCTATCTATCTTTATATCTATCTATCTAGTTATCTACTTATCTCTCTGTATATTTACCTATCTATCTATTTATCTGTTTACTTGTTTATCTGTCTGTCTGTCTATTTATCTATCTATCTATCTATCTATCTATCTATCTATCTATCTCTATCTATCTATCTATCTACTATCTATCTATCTGTATCTATTATCTATCTCACTATGGTATCTATCTATCGTCTACCTAACCACATATCTATCCACATATACCAAAACTACCTTAAAGTGATACATTTCACAACCAATTTTTTCACGAAAATATTTACAATAACAAACCAAAAACCTTGTATTTACCTGTCTGAGAGTTCCTGCGTGGAAGTGTGGAAATACTGGCACAAGGACACACACCCCTTCAGTGTCTCCGCCGGGAGCTCTACGCCCTGCAGGAGCCTGAGTGCCACTGCTTCGAGGGCGTCTTCCGGCCACGCCTGAAGGAGGTAGGAGGACTTGAGTGAATTTGCGGAGGTTAGAATGTGGTTTAGTGAAGGTGGGAGTGATGGTGGTGGTGGTGGTGGTGTTGGTTGTGGTGGTGATGCATGTTGATAGATGATTATGATGATGATGGTGATGATGATGATGACTGATGACTGATGAAAATGATGGTGATGATGTGATGATGATGATGATGATAACGATGACTGATGATGATAGATGATGATAGATAATAATGATTAATAACTGACCATGAGGATGATAATGGTGACAACTGAATATTGATGCCTGATGACTGACGACTAACTGATGATGAGGATGACTGATATCAACCACTATTCGTATCCAGACTGAATCCTCTGAACGCGACTTTGCATAATTCCCGCTTCATTAAACTTCGCTAAGAAATTCCAGTCTCGCAAACCCTTTCCTTAGAACGAATCAAACACAGAGACCTCAAAAGCGAAGTCACCCTTAAACCTCCCTTGAAACCCTTTACTGGAACCGCTAACTAACGGCCGTTAGAACCATTAGCCCGAGCCCTTGAAGAACATTCTCGAATCTCAAGAACCCAAACGGGATCATACAGAAGGGCTCTAGGACTGTCTAGAACCGCTTCTAAGACCACCCAGAACGATTCTAGGACCATATAGAACCACTCCAGGTCCGTGAAGAACCGCTCTGGCACCATGCGAAACCACTCTGGGACCATACAAAACTACTCTAAAACCACGAAGAACCACTCCACCACACAGCCACTCTAGGACCACCTTGAACAGCTCTAGGACCACCCAGAATCGTTCTAGGACCATCTATAACCACACTATAACCCACCCGTACGCACCACCTCCGCCCACCATCCAGAACCGCTTTTCCCCCCTTTGCACCATCCGAGAACCACCTTAGAACCCCCCCCCCTCCCCTACTGGAACCAGTCGATGTGCAGCAGGAGAGGAGCGCGGGAACTTCCTCAGGCGTCCTGAAGGCCTCTCCACAGGCGACATCGCGAGGACCACGTGCAGCTGTTTCCCTCACCCGCTCGACGAACAGCGACCACAGGGCAGCTGGGCTTCCGTCGGTCTGTGGGAAGGCGGGTGAATAAAGAGGTTGTATGGTGAGAGGAAAAAGAATTGGCGCAAACCCCACCCCACCCTAAGTCCCGCCCCAAAACCCCATCCCACAACCGCCAAATACCCCCCCACCACCCAAAGCCCCGCCTAAACCCCAACCCACCCTAAGCTCTCCCCAAACCCCCCCCCCAAAAAAAAAAAAAAAACCCACCTCACCCCTAAACCCTGCCCAAACCCCACCCCACCCAACCCTACCCCCAAAACCGCACCCCATCCTAAACCCCGCCAAAATCCCACCCACATTCCCTTCGCCCCTCCTCTTCCCCTCCCTTGACCCACCTGCTTGCTCTTGTCCCTCTGGCGTCGATGTTCCTCATCTTGTCGCAGATGGTGTGCTTCTCGTCCGTGGGATACAGGCCCGGGATCTCGCCGATGCTGAGGATGCTGCTGATCGCCTCAAGGAAGATCTCGTTCTTGATCTGGGGGGGGGGAGAGGAGGGAGGTTGTAAGTGGTTGTAAGTGGTTGTAGGGTGTTGTAGGAGGTTGTAGGGCGTGTGTTTTTTGTGGGTGGGGATAGATGGGTTGAGTTTGTTTATTTAATGGATTTTTGAAGGTTTGTTTGTTATTTGTTAATGAATTATACATAGACGCATATATACACACACACATGAACGTACATACAACACACACACAACTCCCCTCACCCCCACCCCTCCCCTACCCATCCTACACACCCCTACAACCATCCATCGCCCCCCCCTGCCCCCCCACCCACCCCCCCCCCCCCACAAACCTGCGTGTCGCTAAAGAGGAAGACGATATGCTGCTCGCCGGTGCCCGCCTTCTTCAGGATCATCTTGAGGTCCTCACGCCACTCCGTCAGGCCGTAGCTGCGACTCATCTCCACCTGCAGGAGGAAGGATGGGTGATGAGACGAGGGTGGGTGGTGAGTCGAGGATGGGTGGTGAGACGAGGGTGGGTGGTGAGTTAAGGATGGGCGGTGAATCAAGGGTGGGTGATGAGACGAGGGTGGGTGGTGAGTTAAGGATGGGTGAAGGATGAGGGGGTGGGTGGTGAGTTAAGGATGGGCGGTGAATCAAGGGTGGGTGATGAGACGAGGGTGGGTGTGAGTTAAGGATGGGCGGTGAATCAAGGGTGGGTGATGAGACGAGGGTGGGTGGTGAGTTAAGGATGGCGGTGAATCAAGGGTGGGTGATGAGACGAGGTGGGTGGTGAGTGGATGGCGGTGAATCAAGGTGGGTGATGAGACGAGGGTGGGTTGGTGAGTTAAGGATGGGCGGTGAATCAAGGGTGGGTGATGAGACGAAGGGTGGGTGGTGAGTTAAGGATGGGCGGTGAATCAAGGGTGGGTGATGAGACGAGGGTGGGTGGTGAGTTAAGGATGGGCGGTGAATCAAGGGTGGGTGATGAGACGAGGGTGGTGGTGAGTTAAGGATGGGCGGTGAATCAAGGGGTGGGTGATGAGACGAGGGTGGGTGGTGAGTTAAGGATGGGCGGTGAAATCAAGGGTGGGTGATGAGACGAGGGTGGGTGGTGTTAAGGATGGGCGGTGAATCAAGGGTGGGTGATGAGACGAGGGTGGCGTGGGGTGGGTGATGTGAGGGATGGGCGGTGAAAGGGTGGGTGATGAGACGAGGGTGGGTGGTGAGTTAAGGATGGGCGGTGAATCAAGGGTGGGTGATGAGACGAGGGTGGGTGGTGAGTTAAGGATGGGCGGTGAATCAAGGGTGGGTGATGAGACGAGGGTGGGTGGTGAGTTAGGATGGGCGGTGAATCAAGGGTGGGTGATGAGACGAGGGTGGGTGGTGAGTTAAGGATGGGCGGTGAATCAAGGGTGGGTGATGAGACGAGGGTGGTGGTGAGTTTAAGGATGGGCGGTGAATCAAGGGTGGGTGATGAGACGAGGTGGGTGGTGAGTTAAGGATGGGGCGGGTGAATCAAGGGTGGGTGATGAGACGAGGGGTGGGTGGTGAGTTAAGGATGGCGGTGAATCAAGGGTGGGTGATGAGACGAGGGTGGGTTGGGTGAGATTAAGGATGGGCGGTGAATCAAGGGTGGGTGATGAGACGAGGGTGGTGTGAGTTAAGGATGGGCGTGATCAAGGGTGGTGATGAGACGAGGGTGGGTGGTGGAGTCAAGATGGGCGGTGAAGGATGGGTGATGAGACGAGGGTTGGGTGGTGAGTCAGGATGAAGGTGATGAGTCAAGGATGGGTGGTGAGACAAGGGTGGGTGATGAGTCAAAGATGGGTTATGAGTTAAGTATGGGTGGTGAGACGAGGGTGGGTGATGAAGTCAAGGATGGGTGAATGAGACGAGGGTGGGTTATGAGTCAAGGATGGGTGAGGAGGTGGGTGAGTCAAGATGAGTGGATGGGTCAAGATGTCAAGGATGGGTGATGAGTCAAGGATGGGAGAGTCAAGGATGGGATGTCAAGGATGGGTGGAGTGGGTATGAGTCAAGGATTGGGTGATGAGTCGAGGATAATGAGTCAAGGATGGGTGATGAGTCAAGGATGGGTGATGAGTCAAGGATGGGTGATGAGTCAAGGATGGGTGATAAGTCAAGGATGGGTGATGATGTGATGAGTCAAAGATGGGTGGTGAGTCAAGGATGGGTGATGAGTCAAGGATGGGTGATAAGTCAAGGATGGGTGAGAGTCAGGAATGGGTGATGAAGTCGAGGATGGGTAATGAGTCAAGGATGGGTGATAAGTCAAGGATGGTGAAGAGTCAAGATGGGTGAGAGTCGAGGATGCAAGATGGGTGATGAGTCAAGGATGGGTGATGAGTCGAGGATGGGTGATGAGCAAGGATGGGTGATAAAGTCAAGGATGGGTGATAAGTCAAGGATCAAGGAAGAGAGGATGGAACAAGATGTGAGTCAAGGATGGGTGATGGAGAGTCGAGGATGGGTAATGAGTCAAGGATGGGTGATAAGTCATTCAAGGATGGGTGGTCGAGGATGGAAATGAGTCAAGGATGGGTGATAGTCAAGATGGGTGGTGAGTAAAAGATGGGTGGTGAGTTATACTGGTGAAAATGAATCACTGATTGAAAAAGGTTGATTTGTCATTTTCCGTTTCTAGGGGAGGTGATGAGGGAATGGGGGGAGGCGACGGGGAGATAGGGAGGGGAGGTGAAGGGGGAAGTGAAAGGGGGAGGTGAAGGGGGAAGGGGGAAGGGGGAGGGGGAGCTGAAGAAGGGGGGAAGGGGGGAAGGAAGGAAGGGGGAGGGAGCTGAAGGGGAGGGGGAAGGGGGAGGGAGCTGAAGGGGGAGGGAAGGAAGGGGGAAGGGGGATATTTTTGTTGAATAAGGGCAGGAAGTTGAATGTCATATCTAATGAAGAAGATAACTTAATTTACTCGACAGAAATAACCAAAACTCGTGGAGAAATTGTAGGTAAAAAAGGTTTTAAAAAATGGAAAAAATTAGAGGAAACTGACGAAAAGGGCTACGAGTGTAAAAAAAAAAAAAATTAATCTTTATCTACTTTTATTTCCTTTTCACTCCCTGATGTACCTTGCATCACAGACATCAAAAAGAAAAAGAAGAAGAGAATATTTTTTTAGGTAATAAAAGACATAATAAAAAAATAAGCAAATGTCTCTCCATCTCATATAGAAAAATGCCTTTTCCTTAAAAAACAAACTAACAAACAAACAAAACTCCAGTAATATATTATGATGAAACTGACAAACAAACAAAAAAGGAACCCAGCTAACAATAAAACATATAATCAAAAAAACAGTAAACCCAAAATGAACCTCAAAGCGCCCACAAACCCACCTCAAAGAGCTCGTAATCCGTGATGTGGGCGGCGAGACGTGTGAGTGAGTGGCGCCCGCTGCCGCCCACGCCCACCAGCATAGCGTGTCCTCGGGGCTGGCGAAGGACGCGGCAGATCCTCGCCAGGTGCTCCAGCGCGAACCTGAAGGAGGGCAAGGACGTGGTACTCTCAGAAGGAACTCGAGAGGGAGGTGAGGGTCTGTGTGTCTGTCAGTCTGTTTATTTCCCTGTCTGCCTCTCTTTCTGTCTCTGTTTGTCTATCTCTCTCTCTGTTAATGTTTGTCTCTATTTGTCTATTTCCCTGACTCTCTCTCTGTGTCTATCTGTATATTTATCTATCTTTGCTAGTCTGTCTGTCTCTGTCTCTGTCTCTCTTTTTAATCTCTCCTTCTTCTTTTTCGGTTATTTTCTCTTTCCTACTATTGCTGTTAATAATGAATATCCCCATTAATGTTAATACTCCTAGTATTATCAATTATCAAAACCTTTAATGTTAGTATTACACTATCATCATTACTAATATTACTATCACGATAATTATCATCAACATAATCAATACTATTATCATTATCATCACTACTACTCATGCCATTACTATATCTACTATCACCAAAACCAATCCAATCATAAAGCCAAAAGAAAAAAGAAAACAAACAAACACTCACTTGAACATAACCAAGTTCATCGGCTTCTTGCTCATGTTATTGAACTCGTGGAGGTACCCTTCCACCACGCTCCGAAGGCCCTCGAGGTCCTCCACTTGGACGTAGTGGCGGCTCTCGCTCTTGGGATCCGCGAAGTCGCAGTAGACCAGGTTGCGGAGGTCGTTCTCTGAGACCTGTGTGAGGAGAGAGAGAAAGAGGGGGAATTTTGAGACCTGTTGGTGGGGGGGGGGAAGGTTAGAATTTTGAGACCTGTGAGGGGTAAGGGTAGAGCTTTAAGATCTTTACTTAGACCTGTTGGTGGTGAAGGGGAAGGGGGGGGGGAATTCTGAAATTTGAGGTGGTTAGTAATGTAGTCATCTGTGTACGACTTCTTCCATTTCCTCTTTATCCGTTTATCTCATTCCACCTTCCTCCTTTTAATCAATCTATCTCATTCCATTTTCATCGTCTTTATCACCCTCTCCCATTCCACCTTCCCTTACTCTTTTAATCTCTAATTTACCATCCCTTCGCTTTTCCATTCTTCTCGTCAGGTGTTATCTCCCTTTCGTAATTCTTCCCTTGCTTCTAGTCCCATTCTTATCTCTTCCTATCTCATCTTTCTTTCTTTCTATCCCTTCTCATGCCATTCTTATCTCCTACTATGTCTTCTTTCTTTCTTTATATCCCCTTACCTCGCCATTATCTCCAATATCTAGCTCGATCTGTGCCACCGCCCTCTTCTCTTCCTCCTTCTCCTCTTCTTTATTCCCCTTCTTTTTTCACCCTTCCTTTTGCGATTCTCTCCCCACTCCCCTTCGTCCTTGTAGGCGGTCAGAAGGGGGTTAAAGTCCTCGTTAAGTCCATTTCGCGAGCTCAGCCAGCAGGTGGTAGAGCTGAGGTCAAACGCCATTCCTCTCTCCTCATTCCCCCTCCTCTCATTTCTCTTTATCCTCATTTCATCTCTCTACCCACTTCCCCTCACCTCTCCGTCGTCCCCGTCGTCGAGCTCAGCCAGCAGGTGGTTGAAGTCCTCGTTGAGGTGATAGTTACAAGCGCCATTCCTCTCTCCTCTCCCCTCATTTCCTAATCTTTATCCTCCTCTCCTCATTTCATTTATCCTCTGATTCACTTTCCCCTCACCTTCTCGTCGTCGAGCTCGGCCAGCAGGTGATTGAAGTCCTCGTTGAGGTGATAGTTACATTCCCCTCTCCTCTCTCATTTCCTAATCTTTATCCTCCTCTCCCCTCTCCTCATTCCCTTACCTTTATCCTCCTCTCCTCATTTCATCTCTCCTCTACCTCACTTTCCCCTCACCTCTCCGTCGTCCCCGTCGTCGAGCTCGGCCAGCAGGTGGTTGAAGTCCTCGTTCAGGTGGTTGGTGCAGGCGTCGGACACTCGCTGCAGCAGCCACTTGCGGTCGCCACTGTCCACGAGGCGGTCGTAGAACACACGCAGCACCTCGTGGATCCACATCTTCTTCATGGAACGCAGGTCCTCCATCGTCTCGGGCACAGACAACAGCACGCCCTGTGTGTATATTTATAAGGTTTATGGATAAGGGAGGAAAAAATGGTAGCGAAGAGAAATGCTGTAATTCTATAATCGAGCATATGGAGTCGTGAAACAGTACAACTTCCCTACTTCCCTTCTCTCCCTAGTCCTCCATCATTTAGGGTACAGACAGTAGGTATATGTAGGTATCTTCATAAAAAATATGGATAAGGGAAAAAGGAGACAGTGAATAGATATAACATAGGTCTACCATGAAGGACAGAAAGCATTAAACAATACAAGGCCCCCACATCCCCTTCATAGAGCACAGGTCCTCCATTGTCCAGCAACACTTCCCGTATACTCATATTCACAAAATATGTGGATGAGAAAAGAGAAGTAGAGAACAAACAGAAATAGTCATAAAGCGTAAATCTTCCACACATGCTTTATGGAACACAAGACCTTCCTTGTCTCGGAACAGGACAGCTGCAAGTCGCGGACACGAGGAGAATGTAGGTAAGATGAGAGACGATGGAAAAAATGGGGGAAGAAAGGAAAGGAGCGAAAGAATTATAAACAGAAAAGGAAGGGTGTAAATAAAATAAGATTAAATAAAATAGATAAATAAAAAAGAATAAATGAAAGAGACAAATAAATAAACAAGGAACATAAAATTAGCTAAATGAATAGATGAGCTACATCATACGAAGCGCTTAAACGCACCTAAATGACCCTGACGAATAACACAAAACTTGAAGACGAAGCAAAAACGACCCCCCTCATGCCTCCAGACGTACCTAATGACCCTGAAGAAGTCGCGGAGGAAGTTGAAGTTGTAGTGTGAGCTAAAAAAAAAAAAAAAAAAAAAAAAAAAAAAAAAAAAAAAAAAAAAGAGAATAAGAGAAAAGAGTACAATGAAATAAACAAGAATCATTTAAAATAAGAGGCATCATCACCCTACCTCACTCACACCCTCGGAGGTTGAAGAAGTAGAGGGAGCGAGAAGAAAACAAAAGAAAACAAAACAAACCACAAGAAGCACAATCAAACAAGCAAAGCCTTATCATCACCCCCACCTCCCCGCAGCCTCCAGACGTCCCTGAAAGACCCTGTAGAAGTCGCAGAGGAGATTAAAGAAATAGCGAGAGCGAGAAAACAAAACAAAATGAGAGAAACGCAACCAAACCTACAAACAACAACAAACAAAAAACACAATAACATATCCCTTCCCCCCCCTCCCCCCCCCACAGCCTCCAACCGTACCTGAAGGACCCTGAAGAAGTCGCGGAGGAGATTGAAGATGTAGTGTGAGCGAGAGGGAAAACAAAACAAATAAGAAAGAAGAGTACAATCAGATAAACAAGAATCATTCAAAATAAGAGGTATTATCACCCCACTCCCCCCCAGCCTCCAGACGTACCTGAATGACCCTGAAGAAGTCGCAGAGGCTGTTGATATAGTGTCACCGAGAAGACAAAACAAAACACGAGAAACACAGCCAACCAACAAACAAAAAACACACAAAATACCACGTATCCCTCCCTCCCTCCCCCCACCACCTCCCCCACCACACCCTCCAACCGTACCTGAATGACCCTGAAGAAGTCGCGGAGGTTGAAGATGTAGTGCGAGCGGGAGGGCGTCGGGCGCAGGTGGGTGGCGGCGGCGCGGTAGACGTCCAAGGTGCCGTTCACGATCTCGCCGATGCAGGGGTCGAACATCTTGCTGAAGCCTCGCGTGTCCAGATGCCATAGGAGGATCTGGGAAGGAGGGGGCGAGAGGGTGAATGGAAGATCGTTGGGGAAGAAAGAATGAGGAGGGAGGAGAGGGAAGAAGGGAGGGAGGGGAGAGAGGGGGAGGGGAGGGAGATTTGTGAAGGAAGAAAGAAGGGAAGATAAGGGAGAGGGGAAGATAGGAGAGGGGAAGATGGCTGGGGAAGAAAGAATGAAGAAGGAAGAGAGGGAAGGGAGATAGTTAGGGAATAAGTGAGGAAGAAGATGAGGATAGGAGTAAAGCGCGCGTGTGCGTTGTGTGTGTGTGTATGTGGTATGTTGTTGTATGTATATGTGTGTTTTGTGTGTGCATATGCATGTGCGTATGAGAGTACATATGAATATACGTGTGAATTAGTGCTCAAAAGTGAGTGCGAGACCCCACGTACACATTCCCTTCTCCTGCCCCACCTCTACACACAAACCCACACTTCCGAGTTTCCTTTACGCTTTTTCAGAACACAAACTCGCCTTAAATAAACGTCATCGATCCCTTCCGACACTGACCTTGGAGAAAATGGAGTGGATCGTCTGGTCATCGAAGTCGTTGACGGCGACGACGTTGAAGTGACGAAGGAGGCGCGGCGTGAGATTCGTCCTTCCGCTCTCTCGCAGGCTCATCGTCGACACCAGCTGGGGGTTCAAAGGAGGGAGGGGTGAGGATTTTGGTTTGTTTGTTTGTTTGTTTCTCTTTCATTCTCTGTGCGTTTAGTTTGTGTGTGTGTTTACTTCTCTCTTTGTCTCTCTCTTTGTTTCTATCTCTGTCTCTCCCTGGCTGTCTCTCTGCCCCCCCCCTCTCTCTCCATATTCTCATCCATCTGTCTTCAAGCTAAATAAGCACGACCCACACCCCTGATACCTTACAATCCCTCCCCAGGCTTTCCCTCTCTCCTCCCCATCGCCCCTTTCCTTCCCCAACCCCTTCCTTATCCATCTCTCTCTCCCACGACCCGACCCCTCCCTCCCATCTCATCTCTCCACCTCACCTGCACCCCAGGAAACAGGACTCTCCCTGCCCTTCCCCTTCATCCTTTCCCCAGTCCTTTCTCTCATCACCACTCCTTCCATCCCCAATCCCTTTCCTTCTATCCACTCTCCTCCAACTCACCTGCATGTCCTCCAGGCGAATGGGCTCGACCTCCTTCCTGATGTCGTACCAGGTGGCGTGGTCGACCAGCTGCCTCAGGAGCTCGAGCGGCGGGTGGGAGCCGAAGGCGTCCGTCTGTGGGAGATTCAGGTCGTCCACGAAGAGCACGCACCGCTTGCCCACGGGGGGACCGTAAACACCTAGGGGAGGAGGAGAGGAACGTGTCAAGGTTATTAAACGGAATATTCTTATGCTACCATGATGCTGCTGTTAATACTATGTGGCCATCAGCAAGCGTGGGTGATTGCCCCCAAGCCAACAACAAGAGTTCATGGGTTAATCATGGGACTGATAGGCCAACGAGGTAACGGGACCTCCGCGGATGTCACTACGGCTGGGTATTGCCAGGTCCTAGTTCAGCAATCGTCGAATTTAGACTTCTCCTCAATTTCAGTCTACAGAGGTGGACCTCGTACCCCGTGATCACTCCCTAGCCAGGATGCCACCAGTTGATTGTGATTCTTCATGTCTATATGGCGCGCGCTTCGCTATTTGCCGTGAAAATCTCCCCCATAAATGAAACCAGCCCACGTTTGTTCTCCAGGACCTACCAGACATTATAATCCTCTACCATAACACAGTCATAACAAAGGAGGAGGGAGATAATGGGTGTGGAGACAAGTGGGAGTGAGGACAACAGGAGAGGAGACGGACATGGAGGAAGGGAGCGTGATATGAGTCAAAGATGGAAAACAGACGGAAGGATGAGAGACGGACGGAAGCAGAGATGAAGAGGATATGAAGGATCTGAGATAAGACTCTGTTAGATAAAGGATGTAGCGGCACATAGAAAAATAGAAAGGTGTACACTTTATTCCTAAGTCAGAAAAATATAGAGGATATCACGTAAGTAATAACGTTTCTCCTTAGACTAACGGCAAAGATGTGCTAAAATATACCACCTAGTTCCTACCAAACACATAAAGATAAAACATAACAAAGGTTTTTCCCTTGCTTATAATAATACCCGCCTTCCATCTCGCATTTGCCACTTGTCTATATCAAATACAACACAAACAAATAAAAGTAAACGCGGAAAACTAAGTGGAAAAATAAACAGAGAAACATAAAACTTTCTCTTCCACAAACCTTTCTTTCGCTTGTCCAGTCCGCTCATGACGAGATCCTGGACGCTGGTGGTGTTGGTGTGGGCGGAGAAGTTGATGAACATGGGCTTGTATTGCGCCGCCTTCAGCTTGTTCCTCAGGAAGTCCTTTGGGAGGAGGAGAAGCATAGGGGAGGGAGTGGAGTAAGCAGGTTAATCGACTAATTGTAGTTGAGAGTAACAGGTAAGTAGGTTTTATCAAGTGTGGCAGGAGTTATGCTTTTATTTCATGGTTCTCGTGTTAAATATGGTTGTTAGGAAGGGCCTTTGTTAACTGATATATTCTTGAGATATGCAGTTTTCTCTATAGATGTTGCTGTTAGATAGATATTTGGTACAGGTAAATCTGAAGATATGAGGAGTACTTGAAAGTAAAAGCTTGAGCAAGGAAAAAAAAAGTTCTTACCCAAAACCATCTTTGTCATAGCTACCTTTCACTACAATTCTTTTCACTACTATAATCATACATA